ATACTCTATAGCTTTTGTTTGTCACTCTTGTGACTGGGTTATACTTCTTCCCATATTCACTTCTGATTGGTTCTTGTTAATGTCATGCAGAGCGATTAGTTTTTAAATATTTTCTTTTGCCATCACCTTACCACATTTTTGTATCAGTCTTAGTAATTAATGTTTCCACTAGAGTCTGCTTGCAATTGATTCTTTTACCTCTCTTCCACTATTTATGCCAACATAGACTAGTTATTTTAATTTCATTCTACCACGAAGTAGGACCAATGAAAGCTAGAACATAGGTGATAGCAGGTGCTCCTGTTTCTCCCGTTTTAGTAATTGGCTTCAGCGTTCCTCATTAAATGGGAAAGTGGCTCTTGGTTTCTGGTGAGCAGTCTTTGCGAGGCTGCGTGCTCTGGAGTCCACATTCACAGGACTCTTCCTGGACCCCATGTAGGCTGCTTGGTGCTATGCTAGTGCCTGCTGGGTGTGGACTGCTGCTGAATTTGGTCAGATGCCATATGATTTTTCTCTTTAAGATGTTACTATTATAATTGCTGTGTTGACAGATTTTTCTGGTTTTGAAATAACTTTGCATTTTGTCAATTTTGCCACAGTGTATTTTCATCGTGTTTAGAACATTTCTAAATTTCTTTAGAATATTTGCTTCCATATTTACTACATGGAGCTGGTCTATAGGTTTCTTCCTATAGACTGTATTTTGGAGACTATAGACTCCATAAGACCGTATTTTGTCCCATCTAAGATTTGCTGTCACCAGCACTTTGTGATGATTCCAGGGTGGTCTGCAGAAGCTTTGCGTTCGCTCTCTCACACTGCCAGCTCACAACAGGGATGATGAGATGGACCCGGATTTTAGAAACAATGAAATGTGGAATGTGTCCATGAAACAGCGTTCAAAGGATGACTTAGAACTCACTGGGCCTGTGGCTTTTCTCTGTGAAACATCTGTAGCTTCTTTCCATAGTGGGTCCGTTTGAAAGTGGGGTCTGTTAAGTAGTACATGGTAACTGTTTAATGGACCTGCTAATCTCTTCCCCATCTGTGGTGGTTATGTCTCCTTATAAGTTCATGTATTTTTTTGACTGTTCTGTTTGTGTTCAATATTATGCATCTCCACTTTTCTCTTTAATTATCTCATGGCTTTTATTTCAACCTTTTTTCCTCATTTATTAAGTTGAATAGAGAGTTCACTTATTTTTAGTTGGCTTTTTAATAGTAAAAGAATTTAAAGCCACATATTCATTCTGAGTATCACTTCCAGCCCTATCCTTAGGTTTTTTTTTTCCCTGACTTTTCAAGTCATAGACTTCTCTCTGTTACAGTTAATTGAAGCATAATTTACATATCCTAAAATTCACTCATTGTAACTGGAACATTTAATTATTTTAGCAAATATATAGCGTTGTGCAACCATCACGACAACTCTGTTTTAGAATGTTTCCCAACATCCTCCAAAAGTTACCCTGTGCCCATTCACCACGGATTTCCGCGCCCAGCCCAGCTGCAGGCACCCACTGATCTGCTTTCTGTCTCTAGACTCACTTTCTTCCGGACATTTCCCCTCAGTGAAATCAGACAGTAGGTGGTCTTTTACATCTGGTGTAACGTTTTTGAGGTTCATCTGTGTTGAGTAGTTTTTTTTAAATGCTGAATCATGGTCAGCTGGATATACCACGTTTTGTTTATCCGTTCACCATTTTGGGCTATTTCTTACCTAGTATGAATAACAGTGCTGCTGTGAATATTTGCATAGAAGTCTCTGTGAGCATATATTTCATTTCTCTTGAGTAGATACCTAGGAGTTGAATTCCTAGCTTGTATGGTAAGTTTATGTTTAGCTTTTGTTTGTTTTTTTTAAATGGAGTCTCTCTCTTTTGCCCAGGCTGGAGTACAGTGGCGCAATCTTGGCTCACAGCAACCTCCACCTCCTGGGTTCAAGTGATTCTCCTGCCTCAGCCTCCCGAGTAGCTGGGATTACAGGCATGTGCCACCATACCCAGCTAATTTTTGTATTTTCAGTAGAGACGGGGTTTCACCATGTTGGCCAGGATGGTCTCAATCTTCTGATCACGTGATCCACCTGCCTCCCGCCTCCCAAAGTGCTGGTATTACCGGTGTGAGCCACCGCACCCGGCCATGTTTAGTTTTTTAAGAAACTGCCGGCAGGGCACAATGACTCACACCTGTAATCCCAGCACTTTGGGAGACCGAGGCGAGAATATCACAAGGTCAGGAGATCAAGACCATCCTGGCCAAAAAAAGAAAAAAAGAAAAAGAAGACCATCCTGGCTAATATGGTGAAGCCACGTCTCTACTAAAAATACAAAAAAATTAGCCAGGTGTGTTGACACATGCCTGTAGTCCCAGCTACTCAGGAGGCTGAGGTAGGAGAATCGCTTGAACCCGGGAGGCGGAGGTTGCAGTGAGCCAAGATGGCACCGTTGCACTCCAGCCTGGGCGACAGAGTAAGACTCCCATCTCAAAGATAAAAAAAAACAAGAAACTGCCAAACTGTTTTCCAAAATGGTTGCACTATTTTACATTCCCACCAACAATGTATGAGGGTTCCGGTGTGTCTGGAATATTCTTGCCAGTATTTATTACTGTCTTTTTGATGATAGCTTAATGCTCGTGGGTGTGTAGTGCTGTCTCACTGTGGTTTCAATTTGCATTTCCCCAGTGACTGGAAATGTTAAGCATCTTTTCATAGGCCTGCTGGCCATTTGTCTGTCTTCTTTAATGAGATGTCTGTTTATGTCTTTTGTCTATTTTTAAGTTGGTTGTCTTCTTGCTGAATTGTTAATAGTATGTTATACCAGATATGAGTTCTTTATCATAAAATACAACAAAAATAAATTATTATAGAAGTGAAGTACCAAATATACCACACTGTTTTTATTATTACAGTCAGTAGGCATAAGATTACCCTGTTACGTTGATATGAAAGTTTTGAAACACTTATTCTCAATGTCTGTTATTCTTTGTAAATCCAGGTTTGTCTATATGTGTTAAACCCTTCTTTTGAGCTTTTAATTTGAGGGTTTTTTTTTTTCATTTGTGAAAGTTCTGTTTGGTTCTTTTTTCAGTCTGCAGGGCCATTTAAAAATATTTTCCTATTCTCTTGAACATACCATCAAAACGTCATTTCTTTAAGTAAGCGCAGCTGTTTTATAGCCTGTGTCAGGTCATACCACCATCTGAGGTGTTCGTCACATTTTGTTCATAACGTCTTATTTCCTAGTGTACCTGATTTGTTTTAATTGTATACTGGTCATTGCATTCCAATATTTGAAATAAATCAAAACCTAGAATCAAAGTGTCTTCCTCAGTAGGGATTTGTTTTTACTCTGCCATACACCTGGAGGCACTGCCAATCTGGGAGTGCCTTAAACCTCAACACTGGATTCTTAAATCAGCCAAAGTCATTCTGCAGTATATCCCACTTACCCCCCTGCGGTTCCTGTAAACAGAAACCTTTTTTTGGCTGCAATACATCGGAGGCAATGCTTTATAACTTAGGAGATAGTGTCATTGTGAGGGACGCATAACTCTGGTTGCCTATCATTAGAAGTGATACGAAATTTTCAATTTTACTAGTGAATTCAGTTGATGACAGATTGATATCTCTATTGAACAATTACATATTTCCCTTACAATTCAAAAAGTACTAGTAATGATCTACAATGTATATTTTGGTGTCCTGCCAATGTGTATTCCCTATCAACCATATGCTAATGTCATGAAAAACAGTTGATAATCTTTGCCTGAGTCAGTAGTTTCACTAGAGAATTCAACATTTACTCCAACATTCTTCTGAAAGCAGCGATTTTTCTTACCAACCAGAGATACTTGGTTATCTTGAAATGTAGCTCCTACTGAAAAAGAAGGGTAAGCTTAATTGTCTTTTATTACCAGGTCCCTCTAATAGTGACAGCTGAAGCTTTATCTAGCTTTCTTTTTGTTTTAATGTCATTGTGGACTAATGTATTATTGTTGATTTCAGTGTGTTTTGTGTACTAAAATCATGTGAAATGATTAGTCAGTCATGTGTTCAAATGGCATAATTTCAATCATTGAGTGCCCTTTAGGGTCGCTGCTGTGCGTTTTTTTACATAGTCTCACTTATTTTTGATTCCTTGATTGGTGCAGTCTCGGCTTGCTGCTACCTCCACCTCCCAGGTTTAAGTGATTCTCCTGCCACAGCCTCCCAAGTAGCTGGGATTACAGGCACCTGCCACCATGCCCAGCTAATTGTATTTTTAGTAGAGATGGAGTTTCACCATGTTGGCCTGGCTGGTCTCAAACTCCGGACCTCAAGTGATGCACCCACTTTGGCCTTCCAAAGTGATGAAATTATAGGTATGAGCCACCACACCTGGCCAAATCAGCCATTTTTCAAAGATCCTTGGTTCTTTTCAGTGGTAAATACATTAGCAACCAAAATCTGGGTGACAGGAATGTTTATTGCTACTGGTCTCACATTACTTTTAAATGCTTTCAATGGAGGGAGCTAAAATATAAATTTTCTGAATTGTGCATTCATATTTATATTTTAAATTTAATTTTAACATTATAGTGTTTTTGAAGCAGGATATTTCCCTGACCCCTTCATGGGTGGGAACTAGAGTGCATGGGTGCTGGAACTAGCTGGCCTCTTCAGCGCCAGCAGGGGGGAACTCCACTTACTCTCTGCTCCACCTGTCATGGGATGGGGAGTGCAGTTGAGCTGGTACAGGAGCCAGGGCGAGAGCTTTTGGGCACCAGCAGGAGCAAACCCCATACTGGCCCCATGGCAGCATCTTGGGGGGTCCCTGTGATCCCTGAAGCCCCAGAGAAAGTGTTACAGTATTCTTTCAGCTCTGCCATCTGTGGACAGCTTAAGTGTTAACAGCTCAGTGGCGGGGCAGTGTGACAGCCTTTTATACCTGCACTCATGGCACCCGAGTTCTTGTCCAGCATCCAAGAGGAATGAGATTGCACAAACGAATTTAAGATGGTATTTTATTGCAGGGGATTTTATTGCCAATGAAAGTGGCTCTGAGTAGAAAGGGAAGCTAAAAAGGGGACAGAATAGAAAGGTCTTGCCCTGAAGTCTGGCTGGTCTCCAGTCAGATTCTTCTCTGAAATTAAGCCATCAAGCTGTCCTTCTGAAGTCAAGCTGCTGCTTTCCAACATCCAACTGTAGTCTCTGATGTCTAGTTGTTTCTCCTCTGTCTGCCAGCTGAGCCTGGGGTTTTTATGGGCACAGGATGGGGGTGTGGGGCAGGCCATAAGTGGTTTTCATAGTTTTATCTCTGTCTTACACGGAAAATGTTGATTTCTAGCATCACTCATGTAATTATGGGTATATTATCTTAAACAGTTCCCAAAAACAGTATTGATATTATTGCAAACAGTTGAAACTTTGACTTGAACCCTAGTCATTGCAGAAAGAAACAGCTGTTGACATTTTTATTTATTTATTTATTTTAGAGATAGGGCCTTGTGATGTTGCCCAAGCTGGTCTTGAACTCCTGGGCTTAAATGATCCTCCTGCCTCAGCTTCCCAAGTAGCTGGGATTACAGGCATGCACCCACCATGCCTGGCTACGGTTGGCATTTTTATTGGGATCCTGTTACATTTTGAAAATATCTGAGAGAGGGCTGGCACCTTGTGATGTTTGCCTACTGCAAGAGTATGCTATGACTGTTTTCCAGGGCCACTCTCGTGTCCTTTAAGGCTGTTTTTAAGTTTCCCTTGTATGTTTTGCACATCTCTTACTTAGTTAATGCCTAGATAATTAATTATCATTGCTGTTGTAAATGAGGTCTTTTCTTTCATTGTGTTCTAGTTACTAGTTGTTTCTTTGGAGGCTGTTGATTTGGTGGCTTGCTTTCATAACCTGCCTCCTTACTGAATTACGTCATTGTTTGCATCAGTTTTTCAGTTGATTAATTAGAGCATTGCACATAATTTCACCTCTGTTCCTAATTGTAAACTCCCATGTCTTTCTCTCCATTTGACAAATAAATTGAGTAAAATAATTTCAGTAAAATGTTACATAGTAGCAGTGAGAGTGGGCATACTTGTCTTGTTTCTGACCTTAGTGGGAATGGGAGGCATGATTTTTAGCAACTATTTTTATTTCATTCCGTGGATACCCTAGTTTTTCAGCTAATATAAATGTGGTGTTCTGTTAATCTTTTGTTATTGTTGTTCACATCTTTGAACTTTTCGTTAAGCCTGATTAAGGAAGTACTGGATCAAAAAGCAAGCATTTTCAGAAACCCTTAATAGATACTGTCCACACACTTTGCAGAGTGGCACCACATACTCTCCCCAGAGAGTGTATGAGATGCCTGTCATCATACCTCTTCAATGCTGAGATCATGTGAAAGTTTTCGTTATTACTGCCGGGCATGGTGGCTCACGCCTGTAATCACAGTGCTTTGGGAGGCTGAGGCGGAAGGATCACAAGGTCAGGAGTTAGAGACCAGTGGCCAATATGGTGAAACCCCATCTCTACTAAAAAGTACAAAAATTAGCTGGGTATGGTGATGCGCGCCTGTAGTCCCAGCTACTCAGGAGGCTGTGACAGAGTAAGACTCTGTCTAAAAAAAAAAAAAAAAGTTTTAGTTATTTTATAAGTAGAAAATGGTATTTCATATTTTTATTTTTTTAAAACAGTGAGGTGGAATGCAGCCTTCAGACCTGTTCATTGAAAGATTATTCTGAATTAATGCCTTCATTTAACATTTTTGGACTGTAAGGTAGAAGTGTTAAATGTTAAATAAAGAGACCCTTTTTTAAAGATACTTATCAGAGGAGTAAATTAATCATGGATTTGTTTTTTAAGGCCATTTTTAGAAAAGAAAAGACTGGGAGAAGTCAAAGTTAGAGTGGAATAATGTAGGGCTTATTATCAATTGACTAGAGACACTAGGGCAAAAGAGTTGCTGAAGATTTGGCCTTTTGTGAAAAAAGTCGTTATATTATCGTTAGAATTTACTTGAATTGTTTAAAATTGGCTTTTGAATAACAGTTAAATATTTTATATGTTTTGCTCTCTTCTTGTGCAAATACAATACTTTGCCCTCATTCAAAGCAGTTTATTTTCTATTTTTGAGACTGGGTCTCAAACTGTCACCCAGGCTGGAGTGTGATGGCACGATGTCAGCTCACTGCAGCCTGGACCTCCCATGCTCAAGCAGTCCTCACAGCTCAGCCTTCAAAGTAGCTGGGACCACATGTGTGCACCACCATGCACAGCTAATTTTTGCATTTTTAGTGGAGACGGGGTTTTGCCATGTTGCCTAAGCTGGTCTCGAACTCTCCTGGGCTCCAGTGATCCACCCACCCTCACCTCCCAAAGTGCTAGGATTACAGGCGTGAGCCCCACTGCGCCCTGCCTATTTTTGATACAATTGAAGGTCTTACCATAAAAGTAGAGGTCTGACTGCTTACAAATGAATTATGCATATATTTACAGGAGCTCTGGCTTCTTGCCTGTTAGTTGAAGAATAATAAAAATGGACTGTGTGGAAGTTATCGGAGTGCCTGCTGCTCTTCTCGTTGGCTTAGAAACAGCTGAACAGGGAACCTCTGCTTTCATTAGTCTTTTCTTCTCTCACATTTTGGATTTTTGTGTCTTCTAATGATTACCTGTGATAAAGAGAGGACACAGTCCCTGGATTGTGAGGCAGTTCACACTGGCCATCTGTGCTGCTCAGAGCAAGGGGAGGTGTTCAGAGCGATGACCCAAGGTGGCCCTTGCCCTCAGGGAACCAGCGGGCCCAGAGTCACAGTGGTGGTCTAGCTTCAGCCCCCCTGAGCCACAGAGAGGCACCACCATGGCCACTCCCTCTTTGGAACCCTGGGGAACCTGTTGCCTGCCAGACAGCCTGAGCCCAGCCAGCCTACCCAGCCCCTCCAGGGTACCCCTGTCCATGGCCCAGGGCCACACACAGGACCTTGGCCGTTCCTTCATGGTCAGTGTCAGCTCTATCTGGGTGGTACCCGTGGGGTTTGGTTTCCAGCCGGCAGCTGTAATCTCAGCTCGTTACCACACAGAGGCCGCTCCTTGGACATTCCCGTCCTCTGTCCGGCACAGCACCCTGCTGCCTCTCCTCTTCAAGTGTTTCCTGAACTGCCCTGGCCCAAGCCATCCTCATGTGAAAAATATAAATATAGATATATACATGTTAAAACATATTTATTATTTTAATCATTCAAAAGTGTACGATTTAGTGGCATTAAATAATACAGAATGCTGTACGTCCATCACCACTATCTATACCCAGAACCTTGTCATCATCCCCAACAAAAACTCCGTTAAACAGTAGGTCGCTGTCTCCCCATTCTACTTTGTGTCTCTATGATTTTGCCCACGGTAGGAGCCTCTTGTAAGTGGAATCGTACAGTATCTGTCCTTCTGTGCCTGGCTTATTTCCCTAAACATCATATCGTCCAGGTCCTCCCACGCTGTAGCATGTGCCAGACCCTCGCTCCCGTCAAAGGTTGATGCCATCCCACTGTGATGACGGACACGTGTATTCCCTCATCAGCGGATGGGCGCGTGGGCTGCAGAGCGTGTCACAAACATTCACTCAGTACACATGTTAACAGTTACGTGCTTGTCTGCCTGTGTTGTCCATTCGAGCACCTGCCAAGGACCCAGGAAACACACAGTATGTCCCCGCAAAGGAATGAAAAGCCCTCCTAGCCCCTCGGCCCTCTTTCTCTGCCCCCTCCACTTTCACAGAGATGGTTGTGGTGCCACCTCTCGTGGGGTGGCCAGAATCCCAGCCAGGCACACTACCTGCTTCACCTCCCTCCACCTTGGATTTCCAGAAGCAAAATGAGGCTTCTGACTCACTTGACCTACTGTGTAGGTTCCTAAGGGTGTCAGCAAATTTAAAAAAAAAATTAGCATGAAAGCACTCCAATGTATGCATACTTTTACTTCACGTTGGTTCCCTATGTTCTTAGAACAAGGAAGAAGTGTGAGTACTTACTTTGGATTGAAAGGTTTTCCAGACTAGCCGTAGGAAGTATAAAAGTAAGCCGAGGTCTCACACACAGCCCAGTGCTCTGGGTAGATTTCACTTCATCTGCTCCACTCACCTACGCCACGCTTCCCTGTGGACAAGCCCGTCCATCCTCTTTAATCACCCACAGGCCTCGCTCACACAGCAACAAGGGCCTGTCCCCGTGTCCTTGCTGTTGGCAAGCAGAAGTTCCCTGGCAGCCTTTGAACATAGCTGAATGCTAGGTATCTTTGATCTGTCTAAGGAAAAAGTCTATTTTAAACTGTGAAGTGAAGCCAATTTTTTTAGGTCAGATTCTTACCCAACAAAGCATACATCATTTATGCTCATATAATTTCCAGTTAAAAAGAAAAAAAAAAAAAAAAAACAAAACAGTGCTGGCTAGCAGAGTGTCAGTGCACTGTGGTCATGATGTCACAGTTCTTTAGGTTCAGAACACCAGCTTTCTGTTAATTGCTACACAACTTCTTCACTAAAATAGAAGCATATTTAATTTGCCTACAAAATTGCTTGGAGAGACTTTAAAATCTTCACCTGAATGTAGAAATGAAAATTTGAAAGTTTTATTCAGAAATACTACCTAGAAATAAAATCAGTGGGATGTATTTACAGGCAGTTTGTTTTTAAGTAAAGAATAAAACAGTGACAGAGGGATCAGAAAGAATAACTCCTTTTAAAGCCAAGCACAGTGGCATGTGCCTGACTTCTCAGCTACTCACTAGGCTGAGGAGGGGGAGAATCATGAGTTCAAGCCCAGCCTGGGCAAAATAGGGAGACCTTGTCTTCAAAAAAAATATGAAATAAAGGATTATTTCTTTTCAAACCTTCATTACTGTCTAGTCCAAAGATTACTGTAGTTACAGCATTCGACGGGAGACTACTGAGCACTGTGGGCTTGCTGGCCCATTGAACTGTGGAAGGCACACTGGGCGGGCCAGGCCCAGCAGAGCGCCCTCCCTCAGTCCTCACTCAAGCTCTTCACATGCAGCCGCAGCCTCAGGAGAGCTTCAGGACACTGCCATGAGCCCAGCGCAGAAGGCGGGTAGGCGTGATCACAGGTGGTGAGTGGAAGGCGTCCACTCCTTAGCAAGTGCATCACGGGAGGCCTGGGAAGGGGTCTGTGTTCAGGAGAGTGGGGAGTGCTGTTCTTGAGACGATTTCACGATGTATCCCTCTTGATTATGTGCTCCAGGGAAGAGGTGTAAAGGGTGAAGAAGTGGTTTTGCAAGATCAGCATTGGGTGCGACTGCTTGATTCATTCATTCAGACATTTGATGGAACAGCGTGCCAGCCGTTCTCTAGGAGCTGGACCGAGGGAGAGCTTGTGATCCAAGCCACAGACCAGGCGGGAAGAGGAAGCCTGCCCCGATGAGGGTCGTCTAAGCAGAGACTGCTCAGGAGGCTCTGCTGCATCGGCACGCCGCAGCTGAAGGGGTCTTTCTATTGGCAGATGGCCTGTGTTTTCTAGTGGGACAGTGCCCACTGCTTCCTGCATTTTGCTGTGATGGCCAGAGCTGCGTTTAGTTGTGTCCTGCCTCAGTCCCTCCCAAGCTCCCTCTCCCTGTCAACTTAGTGTCGGGAGTGCACTCCATATATGACGCTGGCTTCTTTTAACGTGAGGGGTTAGGGAGATCACATATATGCCTTTTTACAGGTGAGGAAAGGGCCAGCGGGAGCTTATTAAAGGCAGTCCCTCTACCCATGCTGAGCTATCCCCTCTGTCCTGCCCCTTCCTGAGCAGGTGATGAAAATATGTCCCAGTGTGAGTGACGTGGTTGCGTTATGAGCCTCTTCAGGGTTGCATTTACTGAGAGTTTGTTTCATCAGTTGAGGAAAGTACTCTGAAGACCAGTTGAGCCCTGATAGCTTCAATGAGCATACAGACTCAATGCAAAGGTGACAGACTTACAGGAGAAGATTCAGGTGGTTCAGAACTGATTTAAGACAGGAAGTCAGCCTCCTCTAACCTGTTGGTTCCATTTCTCATGCCTCATTTTGGCTAACTTTTGTTTGTGTTTTTTACGTCCCTGGTCTCGTTTATCCATCACATTCAGTCCTATGGAGCAGATTTCCTTGGTTCCCATTATAGCCCTTTCCCTGTTCTTAGCATGTGCCTAAGAGACAGTATTCATTAAGGGATTCTCCCTGCAGCAACTTAATCTATATCTCTTTCTAAAAATTATTTTTAGGCCAGGTGTGGTGGCTCATGCCTGTAATCCCAGCAATTTGGGAGACCAAGACGGGTGGATCCCTTGAGTCTAGGAGTTTGAGACCAGCCTGGACAACCCTGTCCCTGCAAAAAAATTTTAAAATGAGTCAGGCATGCTGGTGGGCACCTGTAGTCCCAGCTACATGGGAGGCTGAGGTGGGAGGATCAGTTGAGCTCAGGAGGTCGAGGTTTCAGTGAGCTGTGATCATGCCACTAGGTTCCAGGGTGGTAGAGTGAGACCCTGTCTCAAAAAAACATGTGTTTTTTTAAAATTGTCACTTTTGGCCAGGCATGGTGGTTCACGCCTATAATCCTGGAACCTATAATCCTAGATCCTCAGGCAAATCACCTGAGCCCAGGAGTTTGAGACCAGCCTGGGCAACATGGTGAAACCCCATCTCTACTAAAAGTACAAAAAATTAGCCAGGCATGGTGGCATGTACCTGTAATCTCAGCTACTCAGGGGGCTGAGGCACAAGAATCACTTGAACCCAGGAGGCAGAGGTTGCAGTGAGCCAAGATCACGCTATTCCACTTCACCCTGGACAAGAGAACAAGACTCTGTCTCAAAAACAGAATAATAAAATAAAATAATCACTTTTAATTTCAAATTACCTGTAATTGCTCTGAAAGTAATATGTGCTTGTTTTGGCAGTACTGAAAAAAACAAGGACGTTTTAGAAATAAAAAACATCCATGTGATCCTACAACCTCACTGCTGGGTATATATCCAAAAGAAAGGAAATCAGCATCTCACGGGGGCACATGCACTGCCATGTGTATTGCAGCACCACTCACAATAGCCAAGAAATGGAATCAACCTAAGTGTCCATCAATGGATGAATGACTAAAAATGTAGGACATATACACAATGGAATATTATTCAGCTAGGAAAAAGAATAGAAACCTGTCGTTTGCAGCAACATGGATGGCACCAGAGGAGATTGTATTACATGAAATAAGCCAGGCACAAAGAGACAGATATCATGTGATCCTACTCATGTGGGAGGTAAAAAAAGGGATCTCATGGAGGTAGAGTGGAGAATGGTGGTTAGGGAGGCTGGGAAGGGAAGGTGGGGAGAGAAGGAGGAAGGGCTACAAAAATACAGTCAGAAGGAACAAGTGCTAGAATTCAAGAGGAATTGTAGTCAACAATAATTGATTATATATTTCAAAGTAGCTGGAAGAGACGGATTGTAATGTTTACAACACAAAGAAAAGGTACATGCTGGCGGTGATAGATATCTCAGTTACCTTGACCTGGTCATTACACATTGTTAACAGGGATCGAAATATCACATGTCCCTTCCAAATATGCACAACTGTTATATGTCAGTTTTCAAAGAGAAAAATTCATACCCATGCCACCCAGCGATGACACTGTGGATATTTTGAGAATGATACTTCTTATGATCACACTATTTCTGATTATATACTGCCTCTTGCACTTATATTTTCATTTTATAAATTTACAAGTATTTCTGATGGATGTGTAATATTTCACTAGGTATGTGGGATAATCCCTTTGGCAGAAACATAAATAAAACATGATGCTCTCAAAAAGGGTAAGTTAGAAATAAAGTTATCAAGGAGAGAAGAGACTTGTAAGACTTGTACACTGCAATCTATGAAACGTTACTGAAAGAAAAAATACACCAATCAATGGAAAAACATCTCGTTTGTGGATTGGAAGATTTAATATAGTTAAGATGTCAATAGTACCCAAAGCAATCTACAAATTCAGTGCAATTCCTATTAAAACTTTTACAGGCCGGGCGCGGTGGCTCAAGCCTGTAATCCCAGCACTTTGGGAGGCCGAGGCGGGTGGATCACGAGGTCAAGAGATCGAGACCATCCTGGTCAACATGGTGAAACCCCGTCTCTACTAAAAATACAAAAAATTAGCTGGGCATGGTGG